CAGTTTTACTATAAAAATATATTCTTACACTTTCATAGTGTTTTGATCCCATTTTAAAGAGTTAACTATTTGTCTATAGTTCGGACCTTAACTTAATGGTTTATTTAATGCCGACAAGGATTTTACCGCAGGAAATAGATTTTTTTCAACACATGTATTGCTGGTAATTTTGTTACTCCCAAAATGTATTGCTGGTGGTAAAACCTATTTTTAAATTTTCATAGTGCTTTGATCCCAGTTTAGTGGTTAATTATTTGCCCTTAACTGGGACCCTAACAGATGCTACCACCCCGGATCAGGCTGGACCTGAGAACACCAGCAATTAAGAAGTGATTCCACACTCCTCAAAACCTCCTGATCAGAGGCTTTGTTGTTGGATGTAGTTTATCGTCATACCCAGTACGCTCAGTTAATGTTAGTGTCAGTTGTAATTTATAAAATATTTCTCTTTCAACAACTATTCAGGAAAATAGGTTCCTCAAGTCCAATGTTATTGCTCCTTCTAGTATTGATGACAGTTTCCTTCCTAACCTTTTGTTTAAACTAGTATAGAAAATAATCATCTTGATTATATCAACATTTACCTTCTAGTTACACGTCTTATACATTTTGGTTATTGATCCTGTTATAGTGATGTTAAATAAAACGCATCTTTTTTTTGTCTATTTGTGTATTTGGCTGCAGTCATAACTTTGTATATTAGTAAATAATTGATCGAGAATTCCTTCTGCAACACCGTTATTTAGGGAAAGAATATCTGTTAAGAAATATATATGTTTGTGTAATATTCGTAAGTTACGACATGCCGTTGGCGTTCACCAGGTGAATACAAACGTTTACAGCAAAATATTTTCCTTGATCTTATGGAAAAATCAGCAATTTATTTCTTATTTCGTCAGTGGGCGTTGAAAGAGGAACTGGCGTGTCTGATTCCAATTCCACGCTAGTTTGTTGGGCTTACTTTAGCATAAATGCCTCAGGGAAAGGCACCAATCCATCTCTTTCCAAATAGTGTAGTAGACTTAGCTCTCTAGCCTTGGGTAGACACCATTCTAAGAGAAGGAAAACTCTGAAATATAAACTGTAGAGAAAACAACGGGAAAATACTCCATTATCTTTACCATGGACATGATAAAGATAATGGAGAGACATGGAATTAAAAATCAAGAGTCGACGCTAGTAAGCCGTTTACAAACCTTAGGAAAAATTCAGATGATAGGAAGATTCTTTCAAGATGAACGTTCGGAAAGAGTTTAAAAAAACTTGTTTAATACAGATAAAAAAAACGACATTTTTAAATAAGAGTCTCTATATAATTAAATTAATATAAGGACACCACTGTTTTCTTTTTTATTATTGATAATTATTTCAATCACTTTTGTGCTTCCGTAACTCTTCTATTTCATTTAATTTTATTTATTTATTCGTATTAAAGTGTGGCAGGTGGAATTCTTCTTGGATCGCAACCTTTTCTAT